CCATAATGCGGAATACAGAAACCCGCATATGCCTTAGTGTACAACGGCTGCTTCTTCAGACTGGCAATTCACAGCTGCGATATTTTGAGCATATGTTGCAAACACCTCCAGAAAGGGAGGGCGAAGCAACCATTGGCTGTCCAGCCGACCGGCAGAAGGCCCGTTGGAAGGCCAAGATTAACGCGATACAAATATACGGGAGGAGTTTGGAATATCTTATGCCGAAGCTCGAACGCTGGTCTCGGATCAGGAATGAAATGAAAGCTGTGTCTACCTCCGCGACGAGAAGGACATTTGACATTTTGTGAAACTGGGCACGGAACTTTCCTAGCATTTGCCTTTCGCCATGTGTAATTAACCTCGGGGGAGTTTCATTCATACCCGCAAGCTTTGTTCACTCTAAGGCGCGGCAGTGCTTTTTACATTTCTAGTTTTGTAGGGGTTTCTCCGCTGACCTGTGATTTTGGCAAAAATTAACGATGGGAAGGTCGGAAGCTGAACGACAGCAGCTCAATCGCTGTTGGAAGTGCTCAGGCCAAATTTTAAGGTGTTTCTTTCTATCTACCAATGGGATAATGATCATGATTATGCTGAATTTACGACTCCTAAAAACTAATCCCTTCTAACATTGCGGATATTGAAGTAACAACGCCGGCCTTGCGAACAGCTTATTAGCACTAAATAAATAAACGTTATCGCAAAATTTAAAGTGCCGCAGAGACGTCATCTTAGATTAGGTAGTAAAAAATGATTCAAAAATAAATACCTCAAAAAGACGCATATCGGCGGGAACACGATCGCCCATATTTAAGATAACGACATCGCCGGGTACCAGCTCGCGAGCGAGCATTGGACGCGAAACACCTCTTCTAACGCTAGAAAAATTATACAAAACTGTAAAATATAAAAACTGCAGGTCACACGGGTCGAACGCAATCGATAAGTCACGCTCTTACCATGTACAAGTGGGAGGTACCAATTTCGTAAGCTCATCCAACGACTTTTCGGATCGATATTCCTAGAGCAGATAGTGTTTCAGAGTGTGCTTCAAAGTTAACGCGTCGTGTCGTATAGCGACATGAAGGAAACAGCCATCATAACGAGAAACACATCGTCAGCAAAATGTACCTGTACAAAGGCAACGGTGACGACGATCAGAATCGCCAACGTGATACTAAATGCATCGTCGAACTGCCGCATCACGATGCTGACCAATGCGCTACCAAGTAGCAAAAGAATCAGTGGGTCCTTGAACTGAAAACGAAAAGCAGTCGGTAAAAGCACATCATAATTCGCCTTGAACTGGATGTAACTTTGCTCAACTCAGAGCAAAAATGAGGCATCGTCGTCGAGTACCTGATCGATGTACTTCTTGATCAACGGCTCCTTGTCTTCAACGATGAACTCATTGTACCCGTGAAACTTCAACCGATGCTCCGCCTCGTCCTGACTTAGACCATAGTCGATGTCCGTCGTTAGTTTGTCGACCACTTCCGCAATCGACAGGTGACAAGCATCTTTTGCGGCGAGGCAACTCACCATTCCGCCGGGCTCGTCTTCGATTGAAACAAGTACCTCAAAACAGAACAGCAGATCATGAAAATCGATCGCATTTGGTAACAAGGCAAACAAATGCGATGAGTAAGTCGCCGAGGCCAAGAATCGTAAAACTTTAAAACTAAACAATAAACAGATATGAAGCAAAAGCAACGAAATGACAAATTCGTTCACATGTCTGTGTGGTGATTAGAAACGTGCGTGGAACTGTGATCGAAAACGTCAGATCGTTTAGCTGTACAAACAGAACAGAACAGGAAAACGCAGCAGAAGACAAACGTCAGTCAAGGCGTCGAATGGCAATGACAGTTCTTTTTGGTTGCCATGGAGAGACAGTAGAATCGGCACAGTCTGTGTGTCACAGTGATTGGACTTTGATGAGCTTTTGGAAATCGATGTTCAACGTCATTTCGGCTAACGTTGATGGATACGTGTCGCAGATTCGTTGCCGCCGAGCCAAATCAATCAGCATGGCAAACGAACTGCCGTCGCGTCATGTTTCCATACGCAGAATTGCACTCTCCGTACGGGACTCACTCACTTAACGCTGGTGATCGTTAATACTCTCACGCCACAACTGAGTTCAGGCGCATGTGAACACCTTCAGTGCCGCAGTACATTGTCACGAACTGTAAGTCAGTCGCTTTCTTCCCGGTGAACAGAAGCTGACAAAAAGACATGACTAACGCACCATCTTACGAACTTTACTTTGCATAATTCTCTTTGGAATTATTCAGAAAAAATGCATTGATATGGACGAGTGGTTAAATCACTAGTTTAATTACTTGTTGGTCAG